TTACACGTTACTTTTATTTTAATGAATACCGTAATTGAAAATAACAAATCACACTTTCTGTATTATATTTTATAACACTTCACGTGATGAACCGTAAATTTAAGGTGGTTATGGCACTCTTGAGGAGCTCCTTGAAGTAGTAGCGTGGGCTCAACTTGGCATCCATGATAAACCGGTAATTTCAATTTTATTTTTCAGATGTTCTTTTTGAAATTCTAATTGTTTATTCTGAATTTTGAAAAGAAAAATAATAAATTATAATCTTGTGCATGCAGGTAGGGTTGTTGAATGTGGATGGTTATTATAATTCATTGTTATCTTTTATCGACAAAGCAGTAGAAGAAGGTTTCATTAGTCCAACCGCACGTCATATTGTTGTATCGGCGCCTATAGCCAAGGAACTTGTGAAGAAAATGGAGGTATAAGTTTCAAGATCACTTGTGTAACCTCAAATAATATGTAATAGTTGAAACTCTGGTCGAGATTTTACTTACTTTACAAATTACAAGGTAAACTCGATCATTTATTTTGTTTGAATCAACTTTGAATGTTGTCGAACTAGTTTATGTGTATTCAATTAAGCCAAAATGAACTACAGTACTTAGTTCGACTCTCTAATAATCTTATTTTTTCTATTTTTTCAGGAGTACTTTCCTCGCCATGAAATAGTGTCTACCAAACTGAATTGGAAGAAAGAGGAATTAGATTATTCTCAAAGAGAGATCGAGCCTATTTTGTAGCAGATGGCACCGTGACGTTCTATTTATATAAATATATAGAGAGAGAACTTTTAAGTAGAAGGCAAAGAAGATCATCCTTTTCTTTTGCCAGATTTAATTCACTTTCTTAGTAGAACCATATTCTCAAATGTAGATTTTCCTTTAATGAAAATATTTATTAATCGTTCCGTCTCTTATCTGAACTGATTAAGAATATGTGCGTTGGTACGTGGTTTGATAGTATATTGGAATTTATGTTAGAATAATTATATTATGTGGACTTCCATTTTACGGGTTAGATGTATGGTTTGCAATGATATTGTAATTAGGCCCAATATGTTAGTGATCATTTGGGTTGTTGTACACCTTACGAGCTTTATTTTTATAATGTGGTAATTTTAATTATGTGGGCCGGAATTATGTAAACCCTAAATAGGGTTAGAGTCGATAATGTGCCGACTTTATGATTTCCTATATAATGGCTACATCTCCCTCTCATCTCCATATCATATTGGCTTACTCCATTAACGATTGATTATTTTGAGAAGCAGTGAGAGGAAAATCTAACTGGTAATATTCACACATAATAATGTCTTCCGCATGTATGAATTTCAAACTAATAATTCAGAATATTTGATTCTTATTCTTAGCATGATACTGTGAAATTATCAACAATTTATTCTTAAGTTATTGAAATTGTTAAATAATAACAATTCAATAGAAAAATGTAATTAAGATAAAACAATGTGACTATAACATGCAATATTGCATGAAGAATGTTCATAATTTATTAATTTACCTTCACTCGTAGTAATAGTTGAAGTGAACTCTATCTTCCTTCAATTAATTTAATGGCAATTTAAATTATAGTTGACTTCGTTTATATAATATGGAACACAACTATGAACCAACATCAGAATCATCAAAGCCTGAACACTAAGGCTAAGGTCTAGTTCAAGTAGTAAGAGCAAAGTCTTATCTGGGTGATGACCTGAGTTTGGGAGGAGTGATGAAGTCGTTTTATATCCCCTTCTCTTTATTAAAAAAAAACATAGCTTAAACCTTGTAAGAATTATCAACAAGATGGAATAGTTACCTGTAGACGATTATCCTCCCCAACATGCCAGAATCTCTCTTGGGAAGTGTTACTCCTCACCTCCAAGGCTCAGAGAAACGATGCCACGTAGCATGTCACGTGGGCAGAGGGTCAACAAGAAAGTCAAATAAGACCTAGGAGGTCAAAGCACGAAGAAGGCAAAGAGGCCGAACTCCTCACACAGCTAGCCGAAGTCCTTACACTGCAGAATGAAGTCCAGGTCGAGGCACTTCCTCAAAGACGAAGTTGCCTAAGGAAGCAGAGAAAGGAGTTGAGGCTCTTCACTTAGATAACTACTTCGAAGACTCCTCCGAGGCTCTCAGTTCGTCCGAAACCCGCAAGCTGATTTTGTTCTACTTAGAAGATTCGAAAATCTCTGTGAAGTGATTGATGTAAAACTTGTAATAAAAGTTTGTCAGTGTGTCAGCCTATTGTATAGGGCGGCTGATCCCTTATTAATGTATTAATTGTGTCAATAGACAGTGATGTGATGTCCCCATTAGGGAGATGTGACAACGTGGTTCTGATCCAACAATCACCACGTCGGTCAAAATAGTATAAATATGTTCTCTTTGTAATTTAGAAAATGTTGGATTATTGATTGAAAAAGGGACAAGAACTTACACGAAATATACAAACACTTGGATTTATTTTCCACCCCCTTTGGTACGTTTATGAGTTATAAAGTTCTATTCACGACATAGCAAATTGAACATACATCATATCTATCCTTCCACATATTTACATTCGTGATTACATAATTTAATTTAATTTCGACCGGGAGATCGTTGTTAGCACGATCGCTTTTGTTCCATTCGTCGGAACTCTAACATCTTTGTCTCTCGCCTCAAAGTACCCCCCGCGTCCATCCTCTCCATGCTTTCGTCATCATTCCGGTAGGATCGTGCTAGAATCATACTTGACTTGGCATGAGTGGGNCGTCATCATTCCGGTAGGAACGTGCTGGAATCATACTTGACTTGGAATGAGTAGGTGCGACATCTGCTGACTCATTTTCAATGGTCAATAGGAAGGTTAGTCTCGCTCTCTCTTGTTGGAAAGTATATCAATTGTGATATTGTTGTCGTGGTGTGCCGTGCTGTTTCTTGCTGATAGTGTTTGTAAAAGAGTCGATTTTTTCAATCATTATTTTCACCAAACAGCAAAACACAACAATGCACTAGTTCTTTGGGTTTAGCATTCTTATGAGACTTGGTTTTAATTTGCCTGGTGAAAATAAGATAGTGCAAGAAATCAGCATTTGCAACATTTGGATAAACAAAAAATTTCATATTTTAGTTTTACGTCACAAAAAACTTATATACCTTCCCAGCTAAACCACAAAAATTTCACCGACGCCTAAAGTTTGCAAATCTTCTAATGAATAACCCAAGAAAAATGTTACCTCTTAACTAAAAAAGGAATAGACACTTGCCGCTAGTTAATACAAATATACAATTAGCAATGCAAATTTGCAATGAGAATAAGATTGAAATTATTCAGAATATTCTGAAATTATTCTGATATGAATTCGAATTAACTGGTTTGCTACGTGTAAGGTAGGATCGTGGTTGCGAAAATA